CAATCAACCCTTGAGAATAAGGGTGTAAATCAGCACCTCCAGAACATTGCAGTATGCACTAAGGAAGGATGTTGAAGAGGCTCTCAGACTTCTCCCTGGCACCACCAAACTGAGAAGCAATCTTCAGCTTTGTACCTAGATCAAGTGTGGCCATGGAGAGGAGGATTTGAAGCTGTCAACCACAATGGATAGTAGAAATATAAGAACACAGCTGGGGAGAGAGTTTTGGGATAAAAATTTCAGCACAGAGATAATATTTATACCAGATGAAATCACTAAAGGAGTGTATAAATGAAAGAGAGATGTTAAAGAAATGAACTATGGGACATGTTAGGTTTAGGAAACTGAGTAAAAAAAGAAAGAAGGAGCCAATAAAGAAGATTACAGAGGACAGAAGAGATCATGGCTTCAACTGTTTCAGAGGGGTTTCTTGATCAGATGATGGGCTTTTCTACCGGTATTTCATCGAGATGTCAGTAATGTATATGATTAAGAATCAATCCATGTAACTCTGAAAATGATGTAAGTGCTTCCACTTTGACAAATATGTGGAAGGAGAAAATATCTTCATATTCTCATATACTGATAACGTAGGGCATAGGCAATAGTAACTGCTGTCTGCAGTGCACTTGAGCCAGCTGTGTGGCGGTGGAGGGGTGAGAAGAGATGTCACATATAAAGGCTTTGTGCCCCGAGCCAGCAGGTGCAGAGTAGGAGTTGCCAATCAGGATGGTTAACTAGAGGATTTTGTATAGCACAGGTATATGAGCGGCTTTACTGCTCACCAGATTGCCATGAAATTTTCCTGGATAGATTGAAAGATTTTTCTCAGGAAGAGTCTCTGTTGAGGTGAATATTGCATCTAAGTAGAAGAGGCACTGCAGTATATGGAGAATTATCAGACTTTCTTGAAGAATGAAAGCAGTCTATAATTTTAAGTCACACTTTCTTCTAGGCAGATCTCAATATCCGTAGAGAGACACTGGCCCAGGATTTCTCAGACTCACAAAGGAAAGGATGCTGTGATTTTCCTTCCAGAACTCTTTAAGTGTTAAATCTGTATCTGAGACCATCTGGAAACACCGAAGGAACAGATCCTTGGTGTGCAGCTTCTGAAAGTTAGCTGTAACCTGCTGGTCCTTAGGCTGCAGTAGAGAAGTTGTACAAGGTGGGAGGATTCAATATGAGCCATGAGAATTCTTCAGCCAAGTTTTCTTCCAAATCTCATAGGTACACAGGAGCATCGGCCATGATGAGGAGAGCCTTGAGTGGTAAACCTTTATCCTCTAGATATTTCTGAACAGTTGGACAGAAAGCCTCCCTGATCCATTCAAGAAAATGTGCTCTTGTTACCTAGGATTTTGTATTAAATCTACGCATGGTCCCTAGGCTATTCTTCATGACTATGTTTTCTGAACACTCTAGAGGTCTCAGAGTGATAAACCAAGAAAGCCCTGGTAAATTATCTCACACTAGACCGCTCACTTAAAGGTTTCCCTTCTTCTCAACAATATCACATGAGGACCAAGTTTCTAGCATATGACCCTTTAGGAGACACACAGAAACTATATCCATAGATATTTAAAGAAATGTAAATGTAAACTACAAAATAAAAATTTTAAGGTATTATACTGGCAATGATTAAAGTGCTAATGTACTCAAAATTGGTATAGTTGAAAGAAATGGGCTCTCTTTTCTGGCTGGGTGGTATGTACATTGATAAAACAATTCAAGAAGGTAAGCATCAATAAATTTAAAAGCATTAAAAGTAAATATATCCTTCAATCTGACAATCCTCTTTCTAGCAGTTGTACCTGAAGAAATTACTTTAAAAAATTAAGAACAGGATTGTCAAACATTAGGTTTTATAGTGAAAAATGGAAATAAACCACATGTCTAACAAAGGCATATTTGTTACATAAATCATGACTAAAATAGAATATTATTCAACCATTAAAAGAGAGCACAAAAGTTCAAAAATATAAACTTGATTAAATTATGGTATATATGTAAACTCAAATATCATTCAGAAATTAAATTAGACTTTTAGAACAACATTTAGGTCCACATTGTACTGTGAAGTAAAAGAAATCACTCTTTTTTAGCTCTACCATAATACAAGAACAAGTGTTTTTTGGTGTCTTGTGCAAAAACAAAACCAGGTGTTTTTGCTATGCTTGATATCTGACCATTTAAAAAGACCTGCTGGTGCCTTACTGACATCTGTCCTACAAGCTGGTAGCAGTGGAACCATGAATGATTCTCTCATCACCCTCTTTGAATTTATACAGTGCGTCTATCGTGGGGGATAAAAGTGCTCACTTTAGCAGCACATGTACTATCATGGGGAAAAAAACCTTTATTTCATGAACAAAGCAATACTGGTAAATAATGCCTTTGTGTTCCCTCAATACAATGTGAGTGGTAAGGAAAGAAATCAGTCATCTTAACATGGAAATGCAATTAGAGCTCATGAAAAAAATAAACATGCCAACTATGAAATGTTTGGATTATTTAAATTGACAATGGTAAAATATACTTTTTGCTATTATTAAAAAGCCTTTATAGGAAATTAGTTATGTGAAGGGTATGGTGTTTGGTTTGAAAACTTCATACAAATCACAGGTCTCTTCCGACTAGCCCTCTAGGTTCAATCTCCTCTGTAATGCACTGAAACAGCATGATGTGGTGGTTGAGAGCTCACACTTTGTTGCTTATAAACTAGGTTCCATTGGTCTGTTATTACAACATCTTTCTGAGCCTGTTTCATCATCTAAAAAATAGGCATAAAGATAGCATGACATCACAGGAATGTTGTGAGGTTTAAATTAATATACTTAAAGGTGTCAGAATATACCTGGTAAGCTTTCCTTAGCACCAGCTTATATTATTCTTTTTATTACCACTGTTATTATACTGGAACAAATAGGAGCTTTACTTATTTTTGTTTTCTCTTGCTTTAAGTATTTAATGAAATTGCATGGCTTTCATAATACTTACTTGGTTGCTCTCTCATTGTACTTACCTATATGTCTATGATTCTTTCTTCGGAATTTTGAATACCAAAGACTAAGAACCCCACACTGAGAATACACGAGGCTGAGGAAGCCATGAGGAAGAGACAGGAAAGTCAGGGCTGTCGCTCAGCAGAGGCAGAGGCAAGCAGAGAACGGTGTGCAGTGGCCACGACAGAACTAAGGTGTGAAACCTAGTTCTCCAGGGGAACATGGTACCTGCAGTATGAGCCATTTGGTGGGGACTCTGAGCAACTACTCATCACTGTTTTTCTGAAATTTAGTTTTTCCTGTTAGCCTGACTTTCATGCCTTCATCATTAAACTTTATCAGCTGAGAAAACCCAAAGGTTATCTTCAAACTTTGTAGAGAACACACGACTCACATACATGACCTATTTAAAATATGACATAGAGATTTCCACTAAATTTCTAGATTCATCAATGGACATCTCCAATTTTTCTACTTTGTTGGCTTCCTGACTTTCTGTTTTGGACTAATGCTGCAACTTTACGCTTCATCCAGCCCTTTGGGTGATGGTATTAATTTTGGACTTACAATCATGACTTTAAGGACTTCATCTTGAATCAAAATCGTAACTCCCTATGTATGAATGAGAACTTTAAATGAGTACCTCCTTGGCCTCTCTAGTCCTAGGTCACATCATTGACAGGTGGGAGTGACAGAGCTAGAGTAATGGACTGCTGGATTGAAGGGCAGAGAGTGCAAGCAGCCAGAGTTTAGGAAACAAAACTTATAGAATACTAGGGGTTAAGGAGAGGACAAAGCCTGGGTAATTTCTAGGTTTTTGTCTTGGCTGCATAGAGACTATAAACAAAGAATTTAGGGCTATCAGGTAAAGTTTTCTAGCAGACACTTGAAAAATCTACTTTCAAGAATATGGACATAAGGGGCTGGGGATTTAGCTCAGCGATACAGCACCTGCCTGGCATGTGCAAGGTCATGAGTTCGATTCCTGGTACTGGAAGAAAAACAAAAACAAAAACAAAAACCCCCAAACAAACAAACAAAAAGAAACAAAGAATACAGACATGAACAAACAAGCAAACAAATAAATAAATAAATGCAAAGTTGTCCCTCTCCACAACAAAGAATATAGACATTTCTCCATTGCCCAAACTGTCAGTTGGAATTAAAACAAACTGGTATAGATCAAATTATATTCTCTTCTCAGTTTGTTTCTCATGAGAATTGGAATTCATGTTATTTCAGAAAAACATTTTATTATTTATCTTGGATTTAAATATATATATTGTGTGGGACTCCACTGAGAAATCTTAGGCATTGGGAATCTGAGCTCCAGAAGTATTTTTCAAAAATTTATAAAAGATGATAATAAATTGCTTAATATACTATGTGGAACGTTATTAAGCAATCCTACATTAATTGTATGACTAGTTATATTGATTTCCAAAAGAAAAATTGTCAAATGCATGAAAGCATTATTTTTAAAAAGCTTGGAAGAGCAAGAGCATCTTGTAAAATCCCACAGTACATACCATGGTTTAAGATATGTAATAGATTGTGGCGAGAAAACTAAAGGATGACAAGTTCAAAATGTGTAGCTTTGCATGTTCATGTCAAAGAAAAATATAAAATTTTGCAGGATGTATGTGTATCAGTCTACAACATTATTTTAAACATTACTATTTCAGCAAGTCTGTTTATTTTATTATGAAATAGTAAAAGGCAAATAGCGAAATAATCAAAAACATACAAAAAATCCTAGCAAGAGGAAAAAGTAAAAATTAAAGCAAAAAATAAAAAAGAAAAACAAAAGGATGCCAATGACATTATCAAAGAAAAAATTAGATTAATGAAGTTCAACTTTTTCAGAAAAATTGTTAGGAATTGAATAAGCAGATTATACTTATGACAAATGCACACAGAAGAAAAACTTTTAATAGAGGAGCATAAAGACAGAAAAGAGAATTAAGAATCACAGTAGGCATATATAACCTTGCAGATCTGTCATTTTATTTCTTAGAAACCCATTATCAATATAGTGTAACCACAACTCTAGAATACAAACAGATATAAAATTATGTGTTAAATGCAAGAAAGAAATTCAACAAAAAATGAATCCCTGGTCTGCTTTTGGGTAGTGGAAGAATTGTTTCTCCTTTTCAGTTTTCTGTACTTTACCTAAATGCCTTACATGAAGACACACTGCTTTTACAATGCACAGGACTTAATTCTATCAGAAATGAACCTCTGAATCCCAGGTCCTACTAAAATTTAATAAGACTGAGTTTCTCTATTGCCAGCTAATTCAGGAACTGAACCGGATGACATCCTTTCCTGTACAACATGTGTTACAAACTTTCCCCACCAGAAAGAAGAGTTATCTCCTGTTATCTGACCCATTTCCTAGCCTATGTTTCCAATCATCAATTTCAATGGGTAGGCCTGTCACATGGATTCTACACTGACTTTGTTTTCCCGGGGAAGCAAACAATGGACTACTGATGTGTGCTGTTATTCTTTCCTATCTGGGTCTCGTTGGGGCTTTGGTGTAGGATTCCTCTGGCTCACAGAGTCTGAGAGGAGACTGTAACGTTTTATCTGAACATTGTCAACCTTAGACACCCACAGTTCCCTCTGCCCTCTCACACATGCGCTCTAAAATCCGGTGGATGCTCGGGAAGCTGGGTCTGTCTGCCGGCAGCTTGCTCCAGCACAGACGCATTAGGTTGTATAGCTCCAAAGGGCAGTTCTCGGGGCAGGAGAGGATGTTGCCATCTCGTACGTAGTAAATGACCTCCTCGTGGGCCATTCCATAGTAGGGCTGCAGGCCATAGGAGAAGATCTCCCAGAGCACCACACCATAGGCCCACACGTCGGATTCTGTGGTGTAGCGGTTGTAGAAAATGGACTCGGGTGGCATCCAGCGGATCGGGATAGCATCGTTTTCATTAGCTTTGTAGTAGTCTGCTGAGTAGATATTCCTGGAGAGGCCAAAGTCTGCAATTTTCACCACCATGTTCTCACCCACCAAGCAGTTCCTGGTGGCTAAATCTCGGTGAACAAACTTGCGCTCAGAGAGGTAAGCCATGCCAGCTGCCACCTGCCTGGCAATGCAAAGCTGCTCGGCACAGGAGAGGGGTGGGGGTCCCGGGCTGGAGACCTGAGCCCTCATGGACAGGTCGCTGTGACTGAGGCTGCACACAGCGTGAGGGGACATGCTGCGGAGGAACTCATTGAGGTCACCGTAGGCCATGTATTCAAACAGCAGGCACATGGGCTTCCCGACGGCACACACTCCTGGAACCAAAGGAGCATCCTCGGTTAGACTGGGACCCTGAAATCCCACACTGCAGAGAGCGCTCCAACAGCAAAGGAAGAGACCCAAACATGTGGGGCCTGCTTCTTCGCTGCCAGCATCATAGTCTAACCCTAATCCCATTTATTTCTTTGAACATCTGCTATTTACCTTTTAAGATTCAGTTTATTTGTATACTTCCTGGGGTTCCTCGGCTCCTGACTCCTCCAGTTTCTGTTAGATTTTCCTTCTATCCTCCATTAACATACTATCTCCAAGCCTCTTTTATAAACATTCACCTATCTGAGGTTTTTCTCCAAAAGTTTTGGTTCTTTGAAAGGAGAGATTTAAAAAAAGAGAGAGTATTCCTCTTTACCTTCTCCACACCCACCACATGTGTGGTGGAACTGGTACTGTAAGACATTTGATAAACCAGTGGGCACTTGCTTGGAGTCTGGAATGCAACTGCCCTATGTTTCTGAGTACTTCCTTGAAGAATGATAGCAAGGAAGAGGTATCAAGTTTGGAAAGAATAACAAAAACAATCCAAGATCCTTAGATGAAGTGTTTAAGTGGCTGCTGTAAAATGTTTTGAAAGTTAAGTTTTACTATTGATCTCCATTCTTCCAAGAGAATATGTTGACATAGATACAGTCTTAGATTTATGCCAGGAAGGCATTTGCAAATCTTAAAATCTTGAAATATTTGAGAAAGGAACTGGACGACTTGGAATATTAGATCAAGTGAGGATAATTTCCCATAATCATTAAAATAAATTATTAGATTTATTTTTTCAGGCAAAAATTAGAAGCCTCTGATTGAAAAAAGAAAAGACATAAAGAATACTATTGCCTTGGTTTATTTATTGTGGAGTCTGTTTTTTACTTCCAGAGCTTTTGCAATCAGCTAAAGAAAAAAATGAAAGAAATATTGACCAGATAATTTTTCTTTTACTGGGATTGAATCATCTCATTGAATCATCTGTAGTAAACACAGATTTGCCTATTTTACCAACTGGCTTTGTTATTTTTATGCTAGTTGAATAAATTTAAAAAGAATCCTTATATGGGAAAAAAAAGACAAGTTGTTTCTTTGAAAAATACAAAATTTTGAACTGAGATTATTTAATGAAACTTTCCACCCCTTGGGGCTGGGGATTTAGCTCAGCGGCAAAAGCGCCTGCCTGGCAAGCGCAAGGTCGTGAGTTCGGTTCCTGGTACCAGAGAAAAACCAAAAACTGAAAAAAAAAAGAGAAACTTTCCACCCCTTGATAAGAAAATATTACATGGAAGATTTTTAGTTTGTGATATTATGAGCAATTATATATTCATACACGTGCATGTAATTTATGACAATATATGTGGGTAGATGAATGGATTAAAGGTGACTGTATGAATGGATGGATTTCAAGATGGATGATGGTTATAAGAAAACCAAGCCATGCCTTTAACTATTCCAAGCCACACCTTTAAACCAGTGTGACATCTTCTACAAATCATCTCAACTCTTTGTTCTATTGTTTTGTCAGCTGCCAGGATACTGGGTAGGTATCTATGATTTCCACTCCCTCTTTCTATTAAAAGAAATAAAAGTATCTCTGGATTTATATCTTTTCCTCCAATTTATGACTGTAAAATCTTTATGCACCAGGATTTCAGTAAAAGGAAATGAGCTTTAAAAATACAAACATGTTCAATAAGTGCCTGATATTCTAAATCCATAAAACAGAGCAGATTTATCTTATTGGAAATTAGTTTTGTAGATTTTCCCAGTTTGCCTTTTACTGTTGTAATCTCATTGAAAGGATGTTAACTTCTAAGAAAGTGTAAGAGCAGTGAAACTACATGCATAAATGATCAGTGCTTATGCATATTTAAATAAAAAGCAGATACTGGGTTTACAGGATGTTGAGATGAAATTCAAATATAGTATTTAGCAAAGTTGTGTTCTTGTTGGACAATAAAAATGAGAGAAAACTCTTAGTAGTGATGTAGAAATGTGTTTCCACAAGACTCACAAATTTATAAATTGTACATAATTTGTATCTGAGTCAATCTCAGGAATTCAGGATCTTGTAAAATTGCAAATGCTTACATATTGATGTGGAAACCACACTTTAAGAAGCAATCAAAATTATTCTGCAACAAGAAATAATTTCAATTTGGTGCTTATTGTAGATTATGGCCAAAGGATTTCAACTAACACATAATTTAAAAACCAAAAGTACTTATCTCTCTGTAGTACCTTTTTGAAACTCTAGTGCTGTCTTCTGTGCCTGAAAGAGGCTAAATAGGCCTCTCCAGACCTGCGATGTGATAGGAGGGACTCAGCTTTTCTTACAGATCATCAGCACTTCCTGACAGTTCTAGGCACAGTGCTCGGGTAAATGTCAAGATGAAAACTCAGAAACAAACATCTAATTTTATCAAGTGTGATCTTGTGAAAGCTGGCTCTGAAGTGGTTGTAAACATCTAGTAAGCAATAAGCAATTTATATCCAAGGGTTAAGAGAAAAATTAGGGAAGACATTTGGGGTCTTGAGTTAACGAAATGCTGGGGGAGAACATGAGCTTGACCCAGAAGAGTTTATGGAGGCAGAGGGTGGAGTCAGAAGAAGGATGAGGACAGAGTCCTTGAGCACCTCAAGCCTTGTGGGTGGGGTGGGAGTAAGACAGTGGAGGAGGAGCCCTTGAGCAAGACTAAGTGGGGAGGAAACTCTCGCAAACCCAGAGTCACTGTATAGTCCTTCTCTCACCTAACTTTTTCATGTAACATGCTCACTTTCATTTATTTGAAATATTTTGACTTCTAGGCATCACATTTTTAAAATTTGTTTTTGCCGTATTCTTTTTAGCCTATTTTGCTTGTTCAGCTCTTTTTTTCCTTATTCTCTTTTTCAAATGTTAGATTGCTTCAAAGTCTAATCATTGGACCTCTTCTCCTTTCCTGGCTTTCCTTTACCCTCCTTTGGTGTCTTGCCTAGCCTTATGGCTTCAAATACTCGGTATAGTCTACTGGCTTCTGATTTTATCAGAAAGCAGATCATCTTTCCTGAACCCTAGAACCTCCATTTCTACCTGCTTCCTTCACTTCATCTGGATGTCAAAGAAACACCCTAAATGTGTCTTGAAATTAACTCTTTTTTATTAAAGAATTCTGATAAGCCGGGAAGCATCTCAAACACTCTAGTGAGAGAAACCTGCCCCTCTTGGCCCCCCTGGTCCACCTCAACCTGGTCTATGGCACCTTCATTCCTTCAGCTTTACAACCACAAATTTACAACCACAAACCTTGTTCTTCTCTGTGGCTCCTTCCTTCATTGGATACTATGTATTTGACTGGCCAGCTTATTCAAATTACATATAAACCCAATCAGTCCTCACTATCCTCCCTACCTGTCCCCGGTCCATGCTATCATCCTCTCTCTTTTTATTATTGAGATACCTGTTTACTGTCTCCTTGCATTCACTGCCTCCCTCAGGCTGTGCTCAAGAAAGCAGCTGTAAGTCACATCGTCACTTTTAGTTCAAACTCTCCATTTGCTTCCAAGTTTAGTCATAGTAAAAGCCAGTTTTTAATAAGGCTTAATAGGTTCCCTCCCATGACATTACTTCTCTGATCTTATCTGTACATCTACCTCTTTCTCATTCTGCTGCAGCCATCCATCTCTCCTTGCTGTTCTTCAAGCACATGAGACATGTTCATGCCACAGGAGTTTTTCAAATGGTTTACATTGTTCTTGGAGGGACCTTTCCAACATTGCTACTAGGTCTTTATATAAACACCACATTTATTGATTGATTGTTGTACTAGGGATTGAACTCAAGGTCTTGCACTGAACCACACTCCCATCCTTTCCTCTACAAAGTTTTTTTTTTTTTTAATTTTAAATAAGGTCTTACCAAGGCTATTCTTGAGCTTGTAATACTCCTGCCTCACCCTTCAGGGTGGCTGGAAATATACATACGTACCACCACTTGTAGTTAACTATTACAATTGCAATGAAGTCTTCAAAAGGTTTTGCTCACACTTCAAAAAAATTCTGTTTTGATTTTTAAAAATTGCTTATGTGTAATATACATGATAGGATACTTTTCATGTGCTTATTTTTATTATCTGTCTTCCTGCTAAAGAATATAAGCTCCAGGAGGGCAGAGATCTTTCAAAGTTTTGTTTACTGCCACAATTATACTAATCAAGCATTTGTTAAATGATTGTTGATTCTGTGAATCTGTAAATAAATGGAAAGACAGCAGTGAGCAAAACATTTATATCATTGTCCGCAGGACATTCTATCTGGTAAGAGGAGATGCAAGAAGCAAGTGCAATAGACATACCCCATAATATTAGTAAATTTTGTGATGGGAAACAGTGTTAATAGAAGGTTCTCTACATGGAGACATTAGAAACATTTTTTATAAGAGTAAGGAGGTAGAAGACAGACAAAATTGAGATGATGAAACTAATAAGGTTGAGTCTATCAAGTACTGAACATCCTACAGTGCTGACATAGGATCTGTGTCAGTACCTAAGGGTAGAGTGTAAGCTTGGAAAGAACAGAGACATCTCACTGGTCAAATGTAAAGGAGGGGCTGGGGATATAGTTCAGTGGCACAGCACCTGCCTGGCAAGCATGGAGTTGTGAGTTTGATTCCTGCTACCAAAAAAAAAAAAAAAAAAAAAAGAGTAAAGGAAAAAGCACAAAGAAGTAAGCTATAAAAGATTAGGAACTTGGAGACCTCTGTTTCCCAATCTCCTCACTTATATTTTCCTACCTAAGAGTTTCACAATGTTAGGGTTGTCGAATTCTGCCATGAGGGCCGCCTCCCTCTGAAAGTCTGCTTGCATATCTGCTGAAGCTTCTTCTTTGAGCATTTTTACTGCCACCATCGTGAAAGGTTCATAGGGAAGTAAGCCTGGAGCCCTGAGAGGCAGATTTGTAGAGAGAGAAGCCGACGATCAGGAGGGTTATGCATTCCCGCATGATATATCCCCTACATATACACATCCCCATTGATGGAGCCATTCCTAGAACCATAGATCAATGGAAAATGATGGTAGAAAATCACACTTAAAACTCTTTGACTCCACTAAAAAAAACTCAGTGGAGTTATTTTCAATATAGTTTAAGTTTGAAACAATGCATTATATTATCAATTAAAGGAATTCAAATGTGTGCAGACCCAATGGTGTTGTCATTGCCATTTTATCCTAGAATCTAAATTTTTTGAGCTCAGGGACCATGACCTATGCATCTTTATATCCTCTACAGAGCCTGAAGTAATATCTTGCATATATTTGGTTCCACATAAGTAGTTATGTGAGAGTTTCATTAACCATGTAATGTATCCAGGACTACTATGGATACAGGTAAGTTGTATCTTGCCACAGATCACAGGCCAAAGTGACAACTGGTGAATAAAACAAAGACCACATTTTCTGGCCTAGCTGTGTGTGTGTGGAGCTATATCCATGCAGAAAGGACATTTTATTCTTTTTCACACAAAGGCAATAAATTGGCTAGTATTAGCTAGTATACTCCTTTCTTCAGTTCATTGTTATCTAAATTTCTGCATTATTTTTTGTTTTCTGTTTTGTTATTCCATGAATATCTGCATAATATCTACATATGTCAAACTCTGAGTTCTTAGAATACTAATTCAAAGTCAACTTTCAATGAAGTAGAGACTATTTAGCAATAGAAAATGGAAGAGAAGTAAATTTAGGACTTGTTTACTACAAACAATTTGAGAAATTATGCTTCAAAACATATGACAAGTTCTTTTCTGAAAAGGAAATATAATTGGACCATTATAATCTCTTGTTATTTGAATGATGATGTATTTGAATGTGCTATGAATTGCTTCTTTTAAAAGTAATAAAGTGGTCTTTCCAGGTACAGTCTTATTTTCCAGTAAAAATGAAAACTATTAGTATTTAGAATATAGTATATAATACAAGTACATTTAATCATGTAAGGAATTAATTTGATAAAAAGTATTATGCACAATTTATACATCAGGTTGATGTGCTGGTAATTTTTCAGATATAATATTTTTCAGTAGACAGATTACTACCTTTTGTGGGTAAATTTACCTTGCTTGAAAGACTCTTCCAAATGCTCCCTCTCCGATATCTCTCACATACTCAATGTTATTCCTCGGATACTCCAGGCTGAGCAACTTGGGATTCAGAAGGAGGGGCATCCTCTGGTACATGGGGTTGGGATGAAGCCTGTCAAGCAAGAGCTCGGAAGGCAGTGTGGTGAGGGTCACTGCTGCTGATTCTCTGCAGGTAAGACGGGAAAGATCAGGAGTGAGTTCAAGAGTAGGGACGGTCTTTGTACTCACCTTAGATCCTGAAGTAAATAAAACAAATTGTACTGAGGCATCCAAAGCATCTTTGAAAGTAATGAAGTACTTTGTTTGATCTACACTCAAGGGGCATATTTTTGCAGGAATTTTGTCACTATCCAAATTGGAAATGGTAGTGGGATTGGGAGGAAGGAAAGGAAGGAATAATCATTTTCTTCCAAATTATTGTTTAAATCCTCTCTTCGGGGAAACTTTAGGACGTGTGCGATCATTGCAGGAATGCTTAACTTTAAAACAAGGCTCTCAGTGCCTTTGAGAGATTGGTGGTACTCTATAGATTACTCTTCTCATTCTGAATTCCAATATTAAATACATAGGTTTTAAAACAATACTATGTGTGTTTCAGTGTAACGAAAATCTCACCTTTTCTTATTTTTCCATTCTTTTCTTCTTCGGCAGCAATAAAGAGTAGAGATGGTAAGAAGCACAAATACTGCAAAACTGGACATCATGGAGATGATTACAGTCATGGAGTATGTAGGTGAGACAGAGAAGGAAGATGAGGAGGAAGAAGGCAAATTTGGAATGTCCACACTTGGCTTTGAGGATGTCATTGACGGGAATGCTGTAAGTAAAGATAATTCTTTTCACTCCTTCTTAGACATTTAAGAAGCCACATTTTTGTCTTCAAGAAATCAGTGAATTAAGTCTATTGTTAAGGATATTCTTATGTATCAGGTTCTTCTGGGTTATAGTCCATAAAGTTTAGTTTTAAGAATACAGTAAGATTTGGATATAAGCAAATCTATGTTATAGAGGAATAGGTTTTTAAAGGTCAGACTTGAAGAGAAGAAATACTATTTTTCCAAGAGAAATGTAGACCCTGCGTCAGTGTTCCTGATACTGCATCACATTGTCTATGACTGACAGCAATCATGAAAGTTGATAAATAAAAATATTTTATGTAAATTATACCTGAGGTTGGGATTGTCTAGCTGAGCTTTTATACACATTTATTATTGGTAGCACACCATTATATATGATTTCCACCATATCAGTACTCTCAGTATAAAGGAATTCTGAACACTTCTATTTGGACAGAAAGAACAAACTGTAGCAGAAAATAAGCAGACTCACATTACACTACTCACTTCCAAACAGTAGCCTGAAAATCACATCTAAAATACCAAGAAAAAAGAAATGTCACCCAAGATTATTCATACCCAGTAATGTACCTTTCAACTATCTGGGCAAAAATAAAACTATTTGGTAGCACTTAAGGCCTCAAGACCTCTTCTGAGGAAAGACATGAGGGAATTCTTAACTAAATAACAACTGGCGAGAGACTTTAAAATGAAGAATAAAGATGGTAGTAAGAGTATATATCTAAATCTAAATGGATAATGATGAAATGGTTGGGGATTTTGTCTAAATCTTTAAGTGAGAATTGCTAGAGAGCATCATTCATCAAGGAGATACCTAATAGAACTGGGGAAATAAGAACATTCTGAGGACTTTATGGGAGACTCGGAATGTCCCATGCAATAAGAAGAAATAGGGAGTGAAAACAGCACTATAATGAAAGAACTGGTATCTGGCTTCCACCGAACAGCTGAGAAATAATAACCAGAAAAAAATAAGGAAAAGGAGAAAGAAGAAACAACAAAGGTAAACTTAACTCATTAGAGACTGTGTAAAAGAAAAAAGCACAAAGGAGGGTGTAGAGGGGAAGGATGGATGGGAAAAGATAAAAATGAGCAAAGAAAGACAAAATGGAAATAAAGTTTTTGTAAATAAAATGGGGAAGAGGAACAGCAGAGAGGAAAGGAGAATGGTGAAAAAATAAGAATCAGGGTATATCACCTGTGGGTACAAGTGCCATATGATGAACACGATCATTGTGTATATCTAAACTGTACCAGTAAACTTAGTTAATGATAAAAAAAGAGATTGTGAAGCAAAGACAGGAGGGATACAAATCAAATACATCAGTTGTTATACAAAATATGAACAGGTTAAATTCTTCTCAAGGAAAATTTCAGTCAGGATAGACTAAACCCAGGAAAATATTATTTATAAGAAAAGAAAACTAAAGGAAATACATTCCAAGCAACTCAACTATCAGTACAGAAAAGAAAGATTACTCACACTAATGTCAGAAATTTAAAGTTAAAAGCACTCAAATAAGATGTGAGTGACCTTTTACATTTGCAAAACACTTAATGTAAGATGAGGAGAAAGTACCAGGAGTCATTATGCCTCACAGAACATAGTAGACAAAAGTCTAAAGCAAAATTTATTATTAATTCAAAGAAAATCTGATAAAAATAATAATGATCAGGATTTCTCTAGAGAAAAGTTTAAGTCAGAAATCAAATCAGCGCTGGTGATATAGTTCAGTGGCACAGTGCCTGCCTGGCAGGCATGAGGTCATGAGTTCTATTTCTGGTACAAAAAAAGCAAAGAAATCAAATCAACCAAATCAATAAACTCACATAAATGTAGAAGACTATTAAGATGGTATGATTGTTAGACAGACAGCATAAGTTTATAATACTAAAAAAAGAACAAGACTTTAATCTCAGAAAATAATGGTTATAGTGTAGATATGATCTGATCACATCCTGCATGCTATGTTCAATACTAGACATTCCACAATGTCATTTGCAGTCTGGAGTCAGAACCATGATCACATAGATTTGGATTTTAAATATTGACCTAACCCCATACTTGGTAAGTCCACTTGGGTAAGTTGCTTAAAATTGCTTTCTCTCTTTGACCAGTATGTAAAATTTAGGACATTTATAGTACCTAATTTTTTTTTAATTTTAAAAATAAAAGGAGGAAAACATTAACAGACAGACAACATTTTACAAAATAGCAGAGGAACAGTACAGACAGTACAGAGTTACAAACAAAGCGGTAGGGAATTAACAATGCTTGCTGTATTACATATAGTATCTAATTTTATAGGCCTGCTGGAAGTATTAAGAGAGATAATATACCTAACACACTGAAAAGTTTGCCTGGACTTGGGCACATAATTGCTTATTCTCCATGTATGTGTATGGAGAGAGTATAGATAGAAGGAGAGGAAGAAATGAGAAGAAAAGCAAATCATCATTCCAAAAATAAGCCAAATTAGACTTTGCCACAGAAATGTTAAAAGATGAAAGACTCACTGCTGAGTGTTTCTGTAGTAAAGTATGTGAAAATACCACAAAAGAGAGGGCTAGTGTGCTTAGCAGACAAATAATGTAAAGAGCACAAAGGCATTACGTGCTGCAAAAGGTATTTCACTTCATCAGAAGAAGCCATGAAAAAATGGAAACTATTGAAATTCTAGTCCCTTTTCTAAGCAAGAAGAAAATAATGCGAAGAAAAATGATTTTTAAAAGTTTTTCCAGCACCCTTCAAGGTGAACTGCTAGTAACTTTTGGGGTTCACTGAGGAAAATCCCGCTCCAAGAAGGATTTGAGGTCTTCGCACTTTCTCATAGAATATGAGTTGCAGTGCCCTGTAAGGATACCTTCTTTGCTCATCACTGACCTACCAGAAGTGGCAAAGGTAATTTCTTCATAATAACTTCACTTAACTCAGGGAGAACAGGCATTCTCTACATATATTTGGAGGAAATGATCATTTTATGACATTTGGAGCTCATTTTCTTACCTGTATCAAAGTCTTCATAGAATGGTGTTTTCTAAAGACTAACAAATTAGTTATCATATATTGATATATGCTGTTCCTACCTAATTTGGGATTAAATGTGAGTACCTTCAACACAATAACCCTTCATTAGTGCATGAATGGATGAGTGAGTGAAAACATGAGGAATGACACAGACCACAATTATCCATTAAATGCCCAAAGTAAGCTCTGGCTGGTAATATGACAGGATTAAAACACACATTTGTGTTTGATTTTTTTTTGAGACAGGCTCTTTCTAGGTAGTTCAGGCTGGCCTTGAACCATGTAGCCCAGGCTATCCTCAAATTCATGGAGAGCCTCCTTTCTCAACATCCCCAGTACTGGGATTACAGGTGTGCACCACCACCTCCAGCTAAAGCATAAATTTTTTAAATTCCATCTAGCTGGGAATAAAAATTGTATAAGCTTCCAGAATCCTAGATTTTTGAGGGTTTTGCATAATGGTTCTTGTTTAATAACTAAATGATTCAATTAAGAGCAGTAGCATTCTGTCTTTTATTACTTTAAATCTCAGTTCTTTAAATAAGCTGATAAAATCAAGAAAATCAGACCTGTAATGTGCATTACAGGAAGTGATTTTGATTAAGCAGTATAACAACCAAAGAAGTTAATTGAAAATTTTTTGTCTAATTTTGTTCTGTGGATTTCTGCTTTCTGGTAGGTTAAAGCACCATTTGATAGAAGTTAGTTTCCTTTCCCAAGCAACCTTCTTGAATTCTTTCTTAGAGATTTTGTAGTGACCCATGATTTAACCTGATAAATGTTATCCTGGAAATTGGCTGTCTTAAAAAAAAAACAACAACTTGTTTTTGATCTATGGACAGTATGAGGACAGATAATGATATTATATGTAGTACAGTACTATATTTTTTCCAAAAAGCTAGGAGAAAGAATTTTAACTCTTTTCACCACAAAGAAGTGATTCATGTTTGTGGAGAGAGATTAACCTGATTTGAATAGTACATGTAACAAAATATCACATTACCCCATTACCATGTATTTTGTATGTTAATTAAAAAAATAAAAAAATCGTAACCCCAAATACCTTAGACCAAGTACGTTAGAATTTGTGTGGGACCTTAGTAATGATAGTTTTTTATGGTTCTCCATCTAATTTATAAAGAATAGAAACTCACCCATTTTTACAGATTAAACATTAGGAAAGTGATAGTGCAGTTACAAATTAATTTTTTTTCTTCTTGAAATTAGTAGATTTTTTTTTTTTTTTTTTTTTTTTTTTTTGAGACAGGCTCTCCCTGTGTAGTTTAGGCTGTCCTTGAACTCACAGTGTAGCCCAATCTGGCCTCAAATTTGCTGTGATCCTCCTGCCTCAGCCTCCCAAGTTCTGGGATTATAGGTGAACACCACATGCCCAGTTGAGGAGCATTTTTAATTTTAAAATCAGGACAGAACTTTCAGGAAAAGTGGGATTAGATGTGATTGTTTTCCTTTTCAACTTTTTGTTGTGCCACTTAGAAATTTTTTCTACCATGAACATAGAATTCTTGTGCAAAACCCAATACTAAGCTTCTGGGGGAAAAAAAAGAGTCAGAAACGTACAAAATACCTACCTTCTTAAAGGACTTGTCACAAATAAAAATCACACATAGAGTTTAATGAAGAAATACATATTTGTTTTCATCCGTGAGTAATTAGACAATACAAAATCATGAATGCTAAAGTTAAAAGGTGACATTTTAACCTTGACTTATTTTTTTAGACACTTAAGGCACAAAACAGGGCAACAAACTTGAAATGGAAGACACTATTTGTACCAGTTACTAAATATGGTGTTCTCTAGACCCTCAAAGAGTAGAGCGTCTAAGCACAGACTACAGTGTTCTTCCTGTGTGCTCCGCCTGGGTGAGGACGGTGAGGTCATTGAGGCGCTGCACATTTTGTTCTGCACTTCATGAAGTGTGAGTGTACATACGCATGCAGGAATCCGATTACATACACATAAGGTTTCAAGGGCACAAACAGAATTACTTACTTGTTAGGTTTTCTTTTTTATAATCTGAGGGGAAAGGATAGAAATTTGTTGAAAGTGAACATCCAGATAAATATTCTGTGGGAGAGTGCTATGAAATGCAAGTCTCTTTCAGCCTTTCCATATCCAACTGGAAAACATTCTTTGCATTCAAATGTAAAAACATGGGCTTTGAAACTAAACCAGCTGTTAGGGATAAGAACCTCGTTCCTTACAAACAAAGTTCATTAAAGCAACATGCAGCAGTTCAGATTTGTTTTGTGAGATCAGCGTTTTCAAACATGTGGTTTATTTTTGCATGCTTAAAAATCTGTTTCATTGGCCACAGTGAGAGGATTTTTTCCCTTCGTTTCACTCTTCTGACAAAATATGTCATATTTTTTAGCCATTTTTCTGCACGTTCCAGAAAATGTCACAAGCTCTCGTAAGATTCCTCTCCAAAATAAGGTAGACTTCAAAGAGCAGTGAAGAGTGACTTTTACTTTAGAAAAAATGAAATAGATCTTTACGCTAATCTGTTCAATTTGGGTAGTGTTAGGATTCTGCGATTAGGTATGTAAGGAAGGCAAAATTCAGTCAATCAAGAAATCAACCAATCAATAAATTAGAAATGCCTAGAAAGCCTTGAAATATTAGGAGCTTTAATTCCACACCTTAGATTATTCAAAATAGTAAATTTCTCTTGATTTCACAGTGTTGCAGGAAGTCTTTATTACCTAAGTATGGCAGTCTGGTACAGGCCATGGGGTCCCAGTGCATGCTAGGAAGCTTGCTGCAATCTGGCATAGACAGCTGATGCATCCCAGATCTGTAGAGTCCTCTGTGGGTCTTTTCTTCCATCTCCAGCCATTCTTTTGCACAGAAGAACTCCTTTACCGCTAAGCAGTACTCTCTAAATAGTGGATGGAGAACACAACTTGATGAATTGTGGCATGTTAAAGTCAAATAAGTGGAAAAAAAGTCAAATACATGGCAGAACTTAAAAATCTGTATTTTTAAAATATCATCATAGTACATTGTGATTGCAAAAACATTTTTGAAAGGAATTTTTTACCGTAAATAATGTGAGGCTTTATGAGACATTGCATATTATGCTGTGAGATGAAACATATTTTTAAAAATGTGATTAATGCTACTTGGAAAGTAATTCTCAAGTTTAAAAGCTCCAACTTGAAAGTTATTGACAATAAGTTCAATTTTGTTTCAGTTTTTATTGCTGAAAACAGCAGAAGTAGTCGGCATGGTGGCTCACGCCTGTAATCCCAGCACTTGGGAGGCTGAGGCAGGAGGATCGTTGCAAGTTCGAGACCAGCCTGGGCTACAAAATGAGCTCAAGGTGAGCCTGAAATGCATAGTGAGACCCTGTCTCAAAAGGACAAAAAAAAAAACAAAAAAAAAAACCAAAAACAAAAACAAAAAAACCAGAAGTGGTCAGTCTTAAAAAAAAATTCCTACGAAAATAGTGTGAAAAGTTTAATGTCTCACTATTGAACCACTGAATGACAAAACTCAAAAGCAGAAAGTATTGGATATTTTAATTACTGATGATACTAATATTTACTTAACATATATGGATTTTGTACAATAAAAGGTGCCTTTAAAATATGTAATTTTATGATTATATATTAGAGAAAAACTTCTGTAAAATGTGAGAAGTTTTGGATTACATTTTCTTGTGCCAATGAGAACCAAATATTTGACTATAAGGATTTAAAACAATAAAAATACTTATCTATATAGCAATTAAAATCAGAGGAGCAAAAGTATGCTACAAATGACTTTACCGATTTAGATGATAACTGCTATTCTAATGAATTAGAAATCCTAATGAAAGAATTTTTTGCCTTAAAACAAGTAAATTATTTTCAATCTTAAAAGGCTGGTCATTTGTGGCTTATGAATACAAACTGATCTAAGGTATAAGTGTAGAAAGATTACTCAATAATGTACTTTGTGCTAATGTACAAAAACTACATTTAACTTTAATTCTGGTAAAAGCTTTATTAATGTTAATTAAGAAAGGAGATTCTAATTAAAAAAGAGCTCCATTATTATTTATAAACCATGTTATTTCTGACACTATAAGTTAATAGACGTATAATTTACACAAAATGAATTATGTCCCATTTAATCATCAAGCTCAGTGTAATGAAGGTATATAAGAGTGTAGCCTATACTATGTTATTTCTGAACTATAAGACTATCAACCAAAAATCTAGTAGAATTCTGTAAAATAGTTGATACCTACAAGTAAAATAAAACACAGTAGTTTCACTGACTATTACCAATAACTTGTTAGGAAGTTCCATGGAATTATTTCCCCACCTGTTGATAAGGATTAGACATTTATGACTGACAAGACTTGATTGTTCTCAATTATTAGTATATAGAGTGTCAAGTAAAAGTGAAATAGCCTAAGAATTACACAGATATATTGCTGGTATCTGACTTTCTTTGTTTTTATTGGTGAGGGACTAGTCTTGAGTGGCCTGACATTTCTATAACTTTACCTTGATATTGTAAATTAATTGCTTTTAAATTCCTAGGCAGTGTCAGAAGGAGCTTGACCCTATTTATTCCATCACCTAGGTCTATTTCTACCTCTGCCACCCAAATAGGTAAAAGTGGCTTGAAGAATATAAAAAAAATTATCATATACTGAGCAAGAGAAGCCAGTACAGAAGAATACATACTGTACAATTTTATGAATGTGAAACTCAGAAATAAGTAAAACTAATCTATGTTAGAGAAATCAGAAGAGCAGGATGCCTTTGGGGATAATGGGAATTGATTAGAAAGAGCACAAGGGCACTGTACGGGTGGTGAAAACATTCTGTGTCTTGATTGCACTAGTGGCTACATACTTACATACCTTCATTACACTGAGCTTGATGATTAAATGCGACATAATTCATTTTGCGTAAATATATGTCTATCAACTAAACACCTCAATACAAGAATATAATTTAAAAATCTGTTTAATATGCTCAAAATTTATGCAGTTTAATTCTAAAATTTTAAAACTTTAGAGAAATTAATAATTTTTTTTAAATAAAGAATGAGGGAAAGAACTCTATCTCTACAATTTTGTGAACATTCTAGCCTACAGTGCCAATTATATTGCAAGTAGTAGTACTATCATCACATTAGCTACAACCATAAAACATACCTAGTCATAAACTTAATCAGAAAAAGAAATATTCATATGCAGGAAATCAATAAATTTTACTAACAGGCTAAAATAAGATGAAAGTGAATGACATACAATACCATACTCCTGACTGAGAATACTCAATAATGTAAATATAGCAATTCTTTTGAAGTTAATTCCAAGCTTAGTCAATGCAGTCAAATTTCAAATGGTGCTTACAGATTGACTTTGAGAATATATTTTCAAATTTCACATTTAAAAAATAATTGCATGCTAAACCATACTTAAAAAGATGAAAATGTAAGCTTTCTGGTAAAATAATTTAAATAAATTATAAAGACACTGTAGCTAAATCCAAGCATTTCTAGTGGAAAAATAGACAAACCATTAATGAAATAGAATTCAAAATACAGAAACATGGATATAAATAAATATTAAGTAAACATTCCTCAGTTGTAGCATTGAAAGTCCCACCTCCCAAGAAACACCTCCATCCCACAAATACCATTGATTAAATCATTTTTGCTCATGGACAAAATTTCCTTCCACCATTTCTATTTAATGACTATGACAATTTTGACAACTAAAGGAAAATGAAGATCAATAATTAACCTGGTAATAATTTTATACATTCCCCTTTCAGAGTAAGTGACTATTACTGGTATCATATGAATAAAACATAATTTCTGCTTTGTCTGACCCTGAGCAATTGAAGGCAAATTAGAAGTGTTATTAAATAAGGCTCTTCTTTGGATGACATTTCAGTTTGATGCAATGACAGAGCTTAAAGAAGAGTGATGAACAGAGTTGTACAGAAACCTGATGCTAGGTGTGAAGCTCATGATGGAAGAACTTGATTGCACGTGGTCCTCAGCTGACTCTGGCTCAGCTGTTTAGAAACCTAGCCCTGTAAAGGGAGCCCTTGAGGCAGGACTCATTAGTGCTGTGATAAATTCATTGCTTCAAGTCAAAAGAGACTGGGTGAAAAAGTTGACATGTAGCATGATAACTGACTAACTACAGGGTAGGTTAAGAGGTCAACTTTTCCCAAAGTGATATTCTAAGAAAGAATTTGTAACATGATTAGGGCACATGTTATTAAAGCATAATGATAAAGGAAAAAACTACAAGCATGGATTTGAATACAAAAGTGAATTAATAAATGATATCTCAAAAAGCAGCATAAGAAATATTTCTTGCCCTTTTAGAAATATGTACCAAAATGCTTATAAGTAAAATAATATTAATAACATTTGTGATTTACTTCAAAATATGTAATCGTGGCATGGTACTGCAGAGGGCTGAGTGGATAAGGATGAAATAATATTGACCATGAATTGATAATTTTTAAAGCTGAGTGACAGGTACATGAGCATTCATGATCTCTATCTTTGTAAACATACAAAAATACCTATAATTTAAAAATAAAAAACAACCAAAACAAAACCAAGGGTTCATTTACATTGGGGGAAAGTTATCTGCAAAACCTATAATTAGCAAGTAGTTAAGTAATCATAACCTTAAAATTTTACTAGAAATGAATGAGCAAGCTAGTGAATAAATGGGCAGTCTACAAACAGAAACATTTTAAAAGGACCTAAGATTGTCAACCATGCTTAAAATTTTTGTTTTCTTCTTTGTGTTTTTTGTGTATTCTATTTACTTATACAGTGGAGTCTTGCGGGCTTTCTAATCAGAAAACCACAATGATTGCCACAAAAAAGAAATGTATTTCTAATCTCACTATTATCCCTCTAAAGCATCTGTCCACAGTGTTGAGATGATTCACTCAAGTGTCAGTGTTCAAGTATGATAACTATTCTAGCAGTCACCACAAAATGCATTAGTAGTGCTAAGGACAAGATGAACAAAATCTACTGTCACATTCTTCTTCTAGTTACACTTGTTATATATTATATATGTGCTATTTTCTTGTCAAAGGATTTCATTATTGATGAGTGCCTCAAATATACAATTATAAAGCAGTCTAAGAGAGAGAAATCTAAACCAAAAATGTGGCCTTGTCAAAAGAGGCATGTGAAACAATCAGTATTTCCTTATTTCCCATAGGACAGTTTTACTTCATCTTGTCCACTTTTTTTCTCATTCTCTTTTTGGCAGTAGCTTTAGTTTTTCTACTCCTTCTCTTTTCCTTTCTAATTCCCTCGATGCTGGGACACCTGGAAATTTCTAGATGTCATGCCTGTTCATAATATAATCTTAGGTAAAGAAACATTGTGCTCTTACTGTGTTGAAAAACCTTCAAATTTCATGGTAAATTAGGAAGAAAACATTCTATTTTAATGATCTTCTTATGGTCTTTTTATAGAATGCCCCCAAGTAATTTCAATTTAAATAGCTCTTGACATTTTATGAAAATAGAGATAGAAATGTGTTGGGTGGCTAGTTTTCATTTAAAAGGAAGCTTAGGAAGAATGACATCTATCCAGTGTCTAATGTATACGGTATGGGTAGGGCTTGTCCTTCCATCCCTCAGCTCCACCGTGCAGGTGAGGAAATGGAAGTTCAGCTAAGATCTGGCCCATCAAGAAACAAGAACCACCAGTATTAGAACTCGGTTGTATTTGGCTCAAAAGTCAGGTTGTTTCTTGTAGTTTCCCTTTATATATGAAGATAATGAAAGCCGAGATAATTCTATGGAACATATGGATTTCAATATTTAAAGAATATTGGAGTTTTAAAGAAATATGTATTTATAGCCCATTCCTACCAGTCAAAAGAAGCATGAGGATCAACACTGAGAAGATAAGTTAGAATGTACTTACTTCACAATAGTACTCTGCAATGCTTACCATGTTTTTATTCACTGATGAATATGCTGAAAAATTTGAAGTATACTTTGTACCTTGGCATATTAATTAAGCCTATGTTAGTTTAGAATTTCTTTTATTTGACGAAAAGAAAGGATATCCATGAATATGATACTGTGAACAATAACAAGTATAATAGAACATTACCTTTCATGATATTTTCTAAAAATTCAGTCTTTGCAGTATAGTCATTTACATGGTAGGAATTTTGTCTTGTAAATCACTCCTCCTTTCAATGAAAGCCAGCTTTTGCCTTTACCATTGCTCAAGAAAAATTCTTTGGAAAACTTTTCCTGTTTCCAGACAGAACAATGGAAATTGCCCATTTACTTATTTTTGAAGTTTTACCTGCAAATGGGGGTAGGAGTAGCTACTGCTCCAGGGCTGCACTCTTGGAAGATATGGTTGCATAGCAAAGCCTCAGCAGCTGGCTGGCAAAAGGGACTCACAGCTTGCAGCTCATTCCAGGCAGTGTGAATCAGTAGCTCTTGGGTCTCCTCAGGGTCCGTGTAGGAGGTGTTGAAAAAAACAAGAACGTCTTTCGCCAGGACTGCGTCACACACCTCCCCTCTGTACTGGGCGCAGTAGCCTTTGTTATCTTTGTGTGGTTTACTGAAAGAAGCAAAGAACAGTGTCCCCAGTCATGTGCTGTTTCTTGGCATCAGTCTGCCTTTTAAAAATATGTATTTATTTGTTTATTTATTTATTTATTTATGGTGTCCACATCTGCATCACGGAAATGGGAGAAAATCATACCAGCAAACTAGCTGAAATGCTTCATGCGAATATTGCCTTTTCCCCCAGCTGTAATTCTATGATCTGTAGCTACTCCAGAGGGCTCTAATGAAAGCCAAATGTGATAATGGGTGTGGAAAGCAAAGGGAACTATCAAGGGCTGAATGAATTTGGGCATGTTTGTATTTACATATTAAACAGACTTCTACTGCTCTTAGTTAAGTCAGTTCACAGGCATCTTGCAAATAAGCTGATATATACAAAGTAGTGGATGTGGAAAGCATATTCATTGAGATGGTTAACAAAGGATGGAGCAGGGTAATAACGGCTCTGATCCAAGGCATTTGCAGCTTAGAAAACATAGTTTGTTTATGTTATGATAGTTAGGTATCCAAATTTTGTAGAATATTCACATTTTTGTAACACCTTCCATACTTAGATGTTTTTTACTAACACATCTTCCCAGAAGTCTATTCAAGAAAAAGCCACACAGGGAAGAGAAAGTGTAAGTAGGATGGTGAATAAAGAGGAGCTAAGTAGCAGCTTCAGCTTTGCTATTTTCTGATCACATGTGTGAGGGAAGTTACCAGGTCACCCAGTGCCCCAAGAGCCCTGCCCTGTAGAGCGATAGAGGTAGTTGTTCTGATCTCAGACTATTGTTCCTTAATGGGTAATATATGGGGGAAAATTGTAGTATTTAAGAGTTATCTCCTATAGTAACTGAAAATGACATTTAAGTTAAGGAAATCCATGCTGTTAATATCATACAACAGCTTGTCCACTTCACATAATACCAGAAATTACAGTAATAGCTCATAGATTCACCTGACAAATGTTTATTGAACATTATTATGTGTAGGCACTGTGGCGGTCTCAATAGGTTCTTATGCTTTCCATCAGGTCTATATCACTACCAATGATAGAAAACTCTTAAACTATTCTTATTTAAGGTTGTACAACTGCTAAAATTTGGCATTTCATTACTTTTATACTCCAAAAAATTAACTGCATTGAAATTTGTGGGAAGATTTTAAATTTTTAAGAGAGTCTATTTGAATTTGGAAACAGGATAATTTACAAATCAGAACTGGCTAGTCTTCAAAGCCAATTTGTTAAAATAAGATTTATAGTGTTCAGGTAAGACAGGAAACTTCTAAGAAACATAGCTATACTTTAAAATAATGCTTTAAAATATAGAATCTTGCTTTAATTCAGAATAACCTTTCTCCAATTAATCTTCATGATTTTTACTATATTATTTCATACACTGGAGATTTTAAAAATAAATGCCTTGAATAAGAAAAACTAAAACTGCCAAGCAAACTTAGGTAAGTGTGAGAAAAACATTGAGAGAAATAGCTTATGACCCAAAGGTTTAGGGAACCAAATCCTTGGTACCCCACCCCTCAGAGTTGTAAAGATGCTGTGATTTAAGAAACTCAAGTACTAGTGATCAGAAATAGCTTAGAAAACTTACAAAATGTTCCCACATATTGGTATAATGTCTCAGTAAAAAAGGAAGATCAAAAGAACACGAGTGACCAAAAAATTGCATCATGTAGAAGTTAAGTATTTCCTACAGTGTCTTTGAGCTCAGAATTATTCATCCAGGGTCTCAATGTTATGTGTAAACTACTGAAATGATGTTTTATTTTCCATTACATTTTAAAATTAGTACATATTCATTATATTTTTCCTTTAATTACACAAAATGCCACATCTTTTTGAAAAAAATAAGACCTATGCAAAATAATTATTAATGAAAATAGCATCAGAGATAAGAGGCTATTTTATCAACAACAAAAAGACAACAATCCTTCTCTTTGGATTTCTGTTGCTTCTTTTAATAAAAGTCCTAGAAAAATCTTGGAAACAACCTTAGTGTGGTATTATAGAATTTGAACACTCATTTATTTTTTAGAATTAGCTACAAAATGCAAAGAGAAAATAAAAACAAATAAACAAATAAAAATCAGTGCACTTTGAATAAAAACTAGTTGTTTGTTATAATTTTGGTTATTACACCCAATAGCCTGAAGACCATTAGCTTGTGAAAATACTTTATTTGTTGAGAAAAGGTTTATAATATATATGTTTATTAATAGTTTTCCCTCTGACTATGATGTACTTGAGGACGTTAAGAGACTTGATATTGGATAGCATATCTATGCTTGGAATATTGAATAGAATATTTGTTATTCCCATTTTTCTCTACTTTAACCTACATAAGTCACATAATAAAATGCTATCTTCCAGTAGCTATAAAAGGGGATCCCTTTCATCCCCTTTGTCGAAAGGCATAGTTAGATGGCCAGCCATGCCCTGTCTGGGTTATGATGACTGCACTGCTCTAGTAGAACTCCACACTTTGACCCCTCCACCTCTAGTGGAAGTGCACTTCATAGTTGCACCGCTCCTCAGGCTGATCTTCCCTTCCATGCCAACTGACCTATCTCTGCCTTGAACTCTCCCAGAAAAGGTGAGTCCAATTTCCAGTATCTCCTATGCAAACTGGAAATGTTTTTATTCTTCTATTCCTCGTGACTTTGTATGTGATTCATTTGCCAAGCCAGGGGTCAGTAAATGCCACTCACAGGACAATTGGCTAATAAAAATTGTTACAAAATTCTCAGCATAAAACAGAGCTAATAATTTTTGATGCCTTGTTAAAACATTGGAATATGGCCAGTTATGACAAATTACTATCACAGATTCTTAAAACTAGTTTATTTTCACTTACTCTATATCATGATTTTCACTGGTTATAAAGAATTTCTTTTATATATAGTATTTCTTCAGCCTTCAGTTAAAATTTAAATTTTTGTCTTTTTAATTAATTTTTAATTGATAAAAATTGTGTATATTCATCATATATAACATGATATTTTGAAATATGCATACAATGTGACAGAGCTAATGTGGGCTAACACATACATTATCTCTTAGGACTCATAATAAAAATACCCAAGTTGAAAATTGCAAAAGTTACAGCAATTTTCTCACTATCAGCACAGTTTGAAAGTTCTTGTGTAACAATAAGTGAATAGTGGTACAGGGTTGTTCTTTAAGCATCATTTAATTAGCTAGTAATGACTTTAAACTGTTTTGTTTCAGTTTACTTACATGCTTTTTATTTATGTCTCTCCTTTAAGTCCTTAGAATTTGGACATATTTCCATTATAATTCACCTTTATATATGTGTGTCCCCGAGTAAAATAATAAACTCCTCAGAGCAGGAAAGATGTATAATTAATTTTGTTTCTCCATTTCCAATGTAGTACTAGGCATAGAATTACTGATTTAAAATGCATAGAGAGGGTGGTGTGCTAAAGGATATGTGAATGCAAGATGACATTTCTTCATTGAAATGGCCTGCATTTTAACTTAACTTTTATCATGCTTGTGTCATGCATATGTTCAGCAGATAAGAAGCTCATTGTGGTAATGATTATGAAAGAACTATAATAATCACACAATAAATCACTATTCATTGAGTTAAAAAGGCCATTAAAGTTATATAAATTGCAACAAGATTTAGGAGAAATCACATTGTGTTATGCTACAAATTATTTTGTTCCATGCAAATCAAATAAATCACTAGGTTCTATCTGCTGGTCTATGCTACCTGGATAAGACAGTTTAGTGCAGTAATTACACATACGAATTCTTGAGTCTGTCTGCTTGAACTGAGATGGAGGCTTTGTACTTAGCTCGCCATGTGATCTGAGCCACTCTTGGTGCATCTATTTCCTTATATGAAAAAGTGCAAAGAGTAATAAATAGTTCTCCTATGAAGCCACTGAAATGTCAAAATGAAAAAAGTGGTGATCATAAATGTGCCCCAAAACTTAGCTGCAACTGTTATTATTACTATTAACTAATTTTTATGATTACTTCACTAATTTTCGCTGTTATTACTATTATAAATAATTCTGCATGTCAGTTTATTCATTTATAAAATTAGATGGAAATAGTTATCATACTTCATAGAGTTTTCAATGAAAGTAAATTTTTATAAAGTGTATATAAAACATTGTAAGTTGAAAAGTGTTAAGATGTTATCTTTCTTATTTCTTAGAAGAGGCTGAGAGTTCTGTAGTTAATCCTGGGTTCCACTTTCCATTGCATCTTTTCCTAGTAACTCATAAGTTCAAAGAAATGCCCTGGGTTTTTTCTCTGAAAAGAGATAATCATGGACTATTTCATAGAAATATCAAGGGGGTACATTTAAATAATATAGGCAAAACTCTCAACACAATGCCTGATACATAGTAAATATTCAGTAGTTGTTAGCTATCATCATTGTCATAATCTTGTAAGAGAATTAAAATGCTAAGAAATTAAAAACTTTTACAAAGGTCACAGTGCTCAGCAAATACCAGCTAATGGCCAGTGAAATAAAACACACACACATGAACACACACATGCACACGCATATGTGCACACACACACATGAAAATATTGATATAAAAAGTTTCTTACCTCCATTCTGTTAAGGGAAAAGGATGTTCCAGGAGGAAGTCAAATTAAAAAGGGGGAGGAAAAAATAGTTAGTGTATTTTCATTTTATGATTTAGCAAAGTTTGATACCATTTAGCTCTACATTTCTGTAAAGGTCTCTGCTTCTAGGAGGAGGCCAGATACTACGTTAACAGGCAGATTTGGGAAAGGAGATTAAGAAAACACCAGCCCCAGGAACTGTATTATTTTTAAACATTGGCAGCCATGGGCAGTAGTAGCCCAGGCAGAGACTGGGCTCAGAATTTTCCTCCATGAACCACTAGAGGACTTCAATTTAAGAAACCAGGACGTGGTGGTTAAGAGACAAGACACAAGATGGGAACGGGTAGAGAAAAAGGTAGAAAACTGTCATCCTGATGCACCAGGATGGCTTCATGGGCATCTGACCAGTGCAGTGAGTAACCTAATGTCCTGTGCTCAGAAGGGCTCAGTGCTTACTCTCACTGTTTGAAATACTATTTTTAAAAACATTTTTGTTTTGCAGTCATTTTGCAAACTATGTAGCAGTCATACCTACAGAGCTCTTTTCAGCTGTGTAAGAATTAAAGACTAGCACCCAAAGTAAGAGCTCAAGGTTTCGAGCACACTGTGTCTCTCCTCTGGTGAGTTCTGTGATTCTTAGCAGGAGGGGCCTGAACCAGACCCTCCCATAGCATGAGACACACAACTGGACATTTTTCCTTGGAATATCCAGGAGGGCAAGTTCACATTATCCTTCTTTTCATCTAGTAGGCCCTCTACCCAGGCAAATAGCTGTGGTTCTTAACCTCCAAATGAAGGTGGAAGGGAATTCCAGTTAAAATAAGAGGCAAAGAGAAATTATTTATCTAGATCATCTCGTCCTTGAATGATCTCTGTGCAGATGATTATAATATAACTAATGGAGCTCTTTTCAGCTGTGTAAGAATTAAAGACTAGCACCCAAAGCCAAGGAAAGGGTCCAGGACTTAAAATATATATATATTACTTTCTAAAAAGAACCATAATCATTGAGGCCTGAGAGCAGAGAAAGAGCGTCCAGTAGTAGGGCTCCCCACAATTTAGGTAGCAGGGACTTGTGAGTTTCCTATTAGTCCAGTGGGCACTCTAAGAGGTTTGCTGGGTTACCAGGCAGATTAGCCACCAAACAAAAGAACGCCAGTCGATAGAAAATGTAGGCTGTTCCAAAAAAGATTGAGGTCAAGGGCTGGAGATTACATGGAATCTCCCACATCCGGGTACTGTGTAACATGGAAGCCTGTACGGAAGGATTCTTGGAAGAACTCGTTCCATATCAGTCATTATACAGTTGCAGCAATGAAGCACTGATAACCTGTAAAAGCATTAAAATCCCGGATCAGGGTATTTATTGTGTGACATAGAAGCTTACATGGAGAGAGTCTCCTAGGAACTCATATATCCCATGTCAGTCCTCAGATGCTTGTAACACAGACGCCCTGATAATCTGTGAAAGCATTAAAATCCTGAGCCCTGTGCCTGCTAGGTTTTAATACTGGTTCCTCCATTTACTATCCATTTGAGCGGGACATCCCCCTGAGCTTCACTTTCCTCACGTGTGAAATGCAGGTAATGTAAGTATCCATCCCATCAAGTTGTGGGGTTAAATGAATTTATATGAAGGCAGCCTCAGTAAAGATTATGGGGATTATGTGGAATCTCTCACATGCAGGTACTGCATGAGATGAAGGATTCTTAGAAAAACCCCTGTGTTTCATGTCAATCATCAGATACTTACACCACAAAAGCATCGATTACTTATGAAAGCATTAAAATCCCAGATCACCATTTTCAGTTTGGAGATTCCTCAGAAAACTACTTGTAGAGGTCCCATTCAACCCAGCTATTCCCCTTCTGGGTATTTTCTCAGAATATCTAAAAACATCATATCACAGCAATATATGTGCACCTATGTTCATAGCAGCATAATTTGTAACTGCTAAATTGTGGAAGCAACTCAAATGTCCATCCACCGAGGATTGGATAAGAAAATTGTGGTACTTTTATATAATGGAATATTACTCAGCCATAAAGAAAGATAAACTAGAGGTCTTTATAGGTAAATGGTCACAACTAGAGACTATACTCATAAGTGAAATAAATCAGACCTGCATGTGCAAGCACCGCATTATCTCACTAGTGTAAAACCTGAAAGAGTTAATTTAAACTAGGAGGTATGATAGACATTGTGAAATGATGGGAAAACACTCAAGGGTAAAAGGCAACTGGGATGTGGGAAAAAGAAGGGAAAGAAGGAGAAATTTTGTAGGTATGTATATACAGGATAGTTAATATAGTTGTTCTACTGTCTTCTATGTGTTTGCTGAAAGAAACTGTCAATGAGTCCTTGATTGATCAATACTGCATGTCTCTATCTGTTTTCATGAGAAACCACTTTGAAGATATCAGTATGTAATACAACTAGCATTGTTAATTTCCTACCACTTTGTTTGTGACTCTGTATTGTCTGTACTGTTCTTTTGCTATTTTTTAAAAGGTTGTCTATCTGTTAATATTTTCCTCCTTTTATTTTTAAAATAAAAAAATAAAAAAATAAAATCCCAGATCAGAATACTGTGTGTTATGTATGTATTAGCACTAGCACAAAGAGTGTACTTTGTAATTGTTAGCATTATTATTATAATTCAGGGAAGCAGGGGCGGTCAATAGAGAAAGGATTAAAATACGTCTTATTCAGGAAAAGATATTTGCCGCTTCGCAGTAAATCCTCTTCTGTGACGTGGCAGAGGAACTTGAGAAGAGACTGCACATGAGCAGGTGCTCCTGTCTGATTCACTCTGCAATCTCATCCAGGATGATTGGCGAGCAGTGGACAGAGTGAAGCAGATGCAGTTTAAATTGGAGTACAGATTGAAGTGAAGTTGGATTGTGGTTTTTAATCTCTAAACATTACCTGAGAATTATAGAATCTGCTAAAAATCTTGTGATGGATTGTATTCCTGAGGGAAAAGGAGATTCAGAAAACATAATGCCTCAGTCCCTCAATGGTTGGAGAAAAATAACACCATTTTTTCTCTGTACCTGAAAAGTGTAAATTGTCCAATATGCTGGTTATATGTGCTCTTGGATCTTTACTACTTTTTTGGTTTCTGCTGAATTTATGAGTCTTTCAAAGGAGTTCTGCCATCCATAATGAATTTTTCAATACAAATCACAGTTTTAGCCACAAAATTTAGCTACAAAATTTAGCCTTCCCCCATATGAGTTGCTTATCTTGAGGACAGAAGCCCACGTACTTCTAGCACCAAGGAAAGCTATATTCCTTCATAATACATTCCCTACTACACTCAGAAATAAGAACCAACAGACTGCTATGTGATGATAAAGGAAATGTCAAAATATGTACAAAATTTCTGGACTCTAACCACCAGAGGAATTAGCAGGGGGTAGCTAAATCAGCCTCACAGAATTAACACCTATTTTGATTCTGGAAAAAAAAAAAAAACAACTTGATAGATTCCTTCATTTTTGTTTTTGAAATAGGTAGGTTGGTCTATAGGACTCTCATTTTGATCATCTTATAGATGTTTCTAATGCTGTCCACAAATTCTAAATCAGAGTTAGAAGTGAAATTTTACTGAACTGGAGGAGAGACCTGAAAAGAATCTTTAACCAATAAAAGTGACCAAAGGATATGAAAGAGGATGGGCAGAGCTCTACCTTGTCCTGGCGCTTTGGGGGAGATGCCACCTACCTGCCCCAGTTCTCATGGCCATTCTGCCACTGTAGATAGAGCACATAGAAGGGGACCTCAGAAAATTCTTTTGGGAAAGAATGGCACATAATTTGCAGAAGTAAAGGCGGACTCTAACAAAAACTAGAGCAGAGAGATGCCCTTGAAACACAAGGGAACTAAGGTTTTATATATATGAAGAAGCCCTCATTGTAAGATGCAAAAGGAGAATTCAATAGCATGAAGACGAACAAGAGGCACAGAGAATCTAGACCTAGCACCTGTGAGGAGGTAAGATGCTAAAAATAAGCACAGAGAAATGAAGTTAATCTAAGGGTAATGAGTAGTTCCTAGTCTATTAAGAGAATCAGGGGTGTCCTCATTCATTGGGCTTCTGTATGTTTCTTACAAAAATTTCTCAGTATTATACACATGATAGCTAAGATAACTGTACTAGTAATTTGTATTAGTTCATTGAAAGGAATAGTTAGTGCTGATATGGTTTGATCAGTCTTGCATGCCTATATCTGGCCATCTGAGCAACTACTTTGAAGACAACAATATGCAATATAATAACCATTGTCAATTTTCTATCATCTTGTTTTGAAACTC